ATTACTAAGGTTCTGGTTATAAGAATTGAAATTTGTGCTCAGTTGACTTAATTTTGACTCCAAAAGAATCTGGATGTATTTAGAGGTACATTATATTTTTCTAATTCTGTTGAAACACGAAAGAATATGAATTTTCATCATCTAAATGATGTGCTAGTGGATTGGGATAATATTTAGGTGCTGGAAAGAGAGAATAATATAAAAGAATATCATCAAGAGTTATTAAACTCAGACTGAAAATGCTTCCAAATTTGGGGGATTTCTAAAAATTTTTAGTTATATGCAATTTGGATTCAGCTCTTGGTATTGTTATTTGCTATTATAAATGAGAAATTCTTCAGTACATTTAATGCTCAGTGAAGAATCAGCACAAACAGACAGAGCCTCTTTCTGATCTTATTTCAGTTTTTTGAGAATCAGTAAAATCAATGTGATCAGTAGGTGGACACATATGTATGATAAGTAAAATCAGAGTCCTAATTTCTGCTGAAACACAACAGTGTTCATGGCAATGAAGTCTGCTTAACTTTTCATTTTCTTTGCCATTCCACTAGAAAATAAATTCTCCTGTATTTAAGATATGAAACACTGACTGTAACATTTGGGGATAATTGCTGTCTGACACCCCTGGAGACACCATGACCTAGAAAGAAATAAAAATAGGAATGATGCCACAATTAGACAGGAACTGCAAACCTCGTCCACAGAAAGAATTATTATGGCAAGGGGACATAGAGTTAAAGTGGAAGTTTGTCTGGCCACATGTATAGGCCATCTCTATTTGTGCTCCAAGAACACTCCTGAGGGATTTGTTGAATTTTGTAGACTACATCAGGACAGCCTGAGTGTTCACAAACTGGCTGCAGTGCCAATACAGTGAGGTTCATTCTCAAAGAGGATTGTGCCGAGGAGATGAGAATTTTGCCCCACGAATTCCCAGGTTTCTTTGGGTGAGCTCTCTTAAAAAGAAGCCATTTGGTCTTCATACAAAATGACATTTGACAGCTTGGAAAATAAAGCTGTTTTTCTTCCCATGCCAAAATTAATAAAATTTTGGACAGAAAAGTACATTTTTATGATGAAGGTAAGAATTTATGGGATAAAAAATTATTTGTTAAATTCCAATGATGTGTTGGAGCCTGACAAGGATTATAGTTTTGCTGTCAATTCAATTACCTTACACTGGTGGATGCTGGTTTAATTATTTGTTCCTGGTTTAATTAAAAGGTGCTTAAGTCAGTGCAAGTTTTGCCCCTGATGTCAGTTAGATCAGCCACAGGTCTGAGTTGCCTTAACTCTTAGAGTGGTTAATAAAGAGCAGGATTTTCAGAAATGCCATCACTCACAGCCACACACAGTTAACCTTGAGCTGACAGAGCCAAATGCAACGTAACGACAAACTCTCACAACTTAAGTGAGTGGTATGTGCTATCCTAGAGCTACTACTACAGGGAGAGCAGTGACCCTTACACTGAGCAAGCTTAAGGAAAATTAAAATGTATAAAGCAGATTTTAGTTATTGTAAACTGTACAGAGAATGTGACCATAAGAAGCTGAAGTTACATGAAAAGACTAAAGGCATAATTTAGAGAAGACCACATGAGGCAGAAGTAACTTCCCAAGGGATAGGAGACAAACCCTCTGGTTTTCCTGCTGCTCCTCTCCTCTCCAGCTGTGTGTGGAGGAGCAGTGTAGGGCTGGGAGCCCCAACCATTGCTCCTTTGTGAGATCACTCACACAGGCAGAGGTCTCACTTTAACAGTGTGAATTGCACTTTTGTTCCTCCAGTCCCAAAGCATGTTCTGGGACTCCAGTGCCTGCATATATGCTGCAAATACTTTTCAGAGGAAGAACAAAGTTGCCTAGTGCCTCCTATAAATCCTGCTCAAAGTACAAGCCAGTGACATTCAGCTGCTTCAAGCCCAGTCAGACAATAAACATCAGGAGATGACTTATTTTAGCCATCCTAGATTGCCATCAACCCAAGCCTGAACTGAGGAACTTTCTTCTCTGCCACATTTAACGGCTCCGTCTGAGCCAAACATTGGTTTCTGTGAGGAACTTTCTTCTCTGCCACATTTAATGGCTCCTTCTGAGCCAAACATTGGTTTCTGCGGCTTTTGCTGGATTGCACCCTCTGAAAGTCTAACTGCAGATGTCTCACTGCAGCCCTTTTCATCACAGAGAGAAAGTTTTACATCCTCAAGAGAAACTGGGTCCACATGATTTATTTGCTATTTCCCTCCAATCCAGCCACAGCAGGCAGCTGTAGGAATACATGTTCCAACTCAGGAGAACGGGAATGTGGAATCAGATATTTGAGGAGTGGAATGTGAAGTCAGATGTGTAAGCACACTTCCAAATGCTAGCAAGGTGATGGAATTCCTACGTAGCCTACTTTCAGGAGATAGTGTTTGAACAAAGCCACCACTGTTTAATTGATCCACTTTCAAAAAGTGAGTGGTTAGTGTTTATGTGACGAGTCCCAGAGCAAGTGGCTGAACATCATTAACTGTGCACTGAGATTTTCTGAAATCAAAAATCAGTACTGGCCAAATTCATAAAAAGAAAAAACTACAGAGTGACCTAGAGACACATCAAAATAGTCAGATCAGCTAAATGTGAGTGTGAGCTGGGTGAGGACTGTCTCTGTGACCCTCAGCAAGATATACTCCATTTTCTTGAAATGAGAATAATATTGGCTAGAACATGAGGCTATTACATCTGCAACCACTAGTTTATCTGCTAATATTTTTCTGCTTCTTTGAAGATGATGTGATAATTATTAGTAGAACATCTAATCAGGAATTTCCTCACAGATCATGAGTTTTCTTTCAAGATGAAGACATCAAAATGCACACAGAACAACCAGAGGCTATTAGTCTTCTAAAGAAGCTTTCCTGTGCACACAAATAGAATATTAAATGTGTTTTCCAAGCTTTAGTTACAAAGTGTCTCCCGCATTTTATTTTAGTAAGAATGGCTTTTGAAGGTCTTGGATCAGGAAAATACTCCAGACATAAGAGAAGTTCCACCCATGAGAATTACTGCAATAAAATGCAAGTGCAAATAGATTATAGATTGTTCTGAAACAGAATATATGTTCTCTGAATTCCTCTGAGCAAGGCTCTCCCTCTTGGGAGAGGTTGATATGTGTGACAATAACTCCAGACACAAATGATGACAGACATTTCACATCATGTGCCAAAAATATTTGCTAACTTACTGAAAGATGGTACCACTTACTTTCATATCTAATTGCTGGAATAGCTTTTTCTTCCATAATGCTGCCACAAATAAATTGGCAATACTAAGCAATCTTCAATATGACAAAAGAGATGGTTTGGCAAACTCCTGTTCCTTCACAAAAATTCTGGTACTCTTTCTTTCTCTCACTTGTTCCTTCCCATGCCACATTCCCATGCCATTCCCCTTGTTGTAACTTCGGGTGACTTCCACATCCTGCTCTCCCTGCTGCTCCTTATTGACTCCTTTTAAGCCCTACAGATACCACCCCATGCCACAATGCAATCTCTGCATGGGGGATAAGGGACTCAGGTGTGTGATGACTAGGGAAAACATATTGTGAAATCAAACTAATATTTCTCTAATTTAAAATTTATTATTTTTTTTATTGACAGTGGTTTCATGTGACAAATCTGGTGCAGGAATAATATGTTCATGGTCAAGGTGCTGGACTGCAAGGGTCCCTGGGTGTTCTTTTCTATGGAAGAGGGAAAAAGTGGTACCACTCCAGACATGTTTGAGATATTATTCATGGCAAACTGTTCATGTTTGTGATCCAGCCCCTCTGTTTCTAACAATAAACATAAATGTGTGACCAACACTGGAATTGCCAAAACTGGGAATGTGACTTGCAGCAAACTGGGATGAATGGAGTAGTTCATTACTCAGTTATTGCTTCAGACTCTCAGCACATAGGAGAGAACATTGCATCTGCTAGGTCCTACACTTTAAAAAATTCTGAAAGTTTAAACTATTATTAACTAGAATATAAAGAATCTAGAGAAGATGAAACCTTACAGATGTGAGGGATTAGCACAATTTAGCATACTTTCCATCCATACACAAATTTTGGCTATGGTAGATCTCAGGACCTTTTGGCTGTTTGTCTCTTCCTCGGCCTTTTCACATCCCTGTGAACAAATATGAATAAAAGTCTCTGTGTATTAAAGCATCTCTGGAAAGGGAGTACTTATCAATGACCACAGAAGAACAGCAGTCTGCTTGGTAATGCCTATGTGTATTCCTTGGAAAGGTTTAACTCTAAGCAATGAAAACCCTTTTGCACGATCTGTTTTACTCAGAAGAACCAACTGGGACCTCACTAGATAGAATCATAGAACTTAAGGGTTGGAATGGACCTTACAGATCATCTAGTCCCAACCCCTGCCCTGGGCAGGGACACCTCCTCACTAGATCAGGTTGCTCAAGGCTCATCCAGCCTGGCCTTGAACACTGCCAGGGTTGGGGCAGCCACCACATCCCTGGGCAACCTGTGCCAGTGTCTCACCACTCTCAGAGTAAAAATCTTTTTTCTAATATCTAACCTAAACTTCCCCTCCTTCAGTTTGAACCCATTACCCCTTGTCCTATCATTGCATAGGCTTCTCCTGAGGCCACCTGATGGGTAATGTGAAAAATGGAAATTCCTTCCTTACAGGATGGAGGTTCCTTTGTTATCAAAGCCTTTAGTCTTAAAGCTATGCCAGGGCTACCAGCTTCCTCAAACCTCCTGGTACCTATTATTATTTCCTCTCTGCCTGGCTGAACAGCAGACCCCACTATTCAAAGACTGGCATTGCTGAACTCATATTTTCTTAATCTCCCTGCCCTGATGCTGGTGCAAGCAGCAGCCTTTTCTTTGCTCTCTTGGCTTCTTTATATTCAGCTGGCTCCTGAGATCCGCCCTCAGAGCCCACCAGGACACACATGTCTGTCCAGCCTCCACCTCCTTCCCTTGGCAAGATTAAAACAGCCCCTGCAGCCTGCACCTCCCTCTCTGCTGGGTCCTGTGCAGGGCAGGAGGAGCTGTCTGCACCCACTGCTGCACTCCTCTCTGGGACTAATGAGAGAGAAGCAAGGAGTGTGATGATATACACCACACATTCACATGAGAGAATTGAAGAAAACCAGCAGTGAAGATGAAAAGCAACTGGTAAGAGAACAAGTGGGATTTAGAGACATCTGTAAATAAGAGATTAGAATGGTTAAAGCTGTCCTTGCCAGCTGCTGCCTGGGTTGTTTGGTCTTATGACAGCATTATATGAAGGAACTAGCAATAGAGAGAGCTTTATTGACATGTTTTATTATGGGGTAAAAATAAAAAAGTTCTCATTGTAAAGAAATTGTCTTGTCGAGTCTGTTAGTAAATCCTTAACTTGTTTTTTCATACATTTAATATGCATGGCTTGGGGAGAAAGCCAATAACAGAATCTGTCAGAAACTATAGATTCATACTGGAGTTTTCTTTCTGTTTACAGGAAAATTACAGCTTTCTTTTACGTGTGTAGTTTTCTGTGGTCTTTCATCTCAGCAACCATCCAGCACCAATCAAGTAAGGAGACAGAATTTATCTGCATTTCATCTTTCTGTAATTTTGACTGTCAAAAGAATTATTCTGAGTTTATTCAAAGTCCTGCCTAGCTAGCCACCACAGAAAGGGAGGACTGTCTATGTGTATGCATGTATGGATGAATGGATGGATGCATATGAAAAATGTGTGTGTTGCTTTAAACTTGCTATTAAATTTACTTTTAAGGTAAGGATTAGTATGTGGATATAGGTGGCAAATACAGGACACAAACCTGCCCCTCATCTTTCAGTGCTTCTAATTAGGTATTCTGCTACATGTGGCAGTAAACTGGTTCTACTTTATTTTCTGGGCATAAAATATAACTGGCTGGATGTCAGCCATATGTCTCATCAAATAATGTAGAATGAGGCCTTTTCTAAGGTGTAACATGCCAAGCTGAATGTTCTCTTTATGTTGTCAGAAGGAAACCCACATTTAGGGTTGAGCCTTTACAGCACACAAGAGGCTCTCTGTAGGTTAGAAATGTATCTCCTTCCAACTTCCACACTTCATTCTTCCCTATCCACACTCTACTAACATTTCCAGATTGACTTGATACTGGACTTACTCTTAAACTCTTCAAATAAATGTTTATTTTTCCTTCCCTCCTTCCTTAAATTAGTGGAATCTGGTAGGTCTCATGCTCTCTTTTTGCCCCTACCCTTCATTTCATGCATGATTATTTTCTGATCAAATGTGGCACAGAAGAAGGTGGGAACCCCTGGAATACCAGAGAGGATGGAAAAGATGCCAACAGTTTCTCAACAACTTCTTTAGTTGGCATGAGGTTTGTTTAAGTTTCCTTGGGACTAGGGAGATTGTTGATTTACGTAACTGGCCTTTTTTTTTTTTTTTTTTCAAAGTTTGCTTAAACCACCAAAAATTCCAACCTAAGAACTCCTTGCACAGCAGGCCTACTTGTGCTGCTACTTTTTCTCCATAGCTCTGCCAGAGCAGACTTATTATAACACTCATTTAAAAGCTTGGAAAAAAATAATCAAATAATCAATGAAGTTACCGTTTTAAATGTAAAGCTCTCTAGAAACAGATGCTTCTTTTCTTAGATCTCTCATTTCACTGAGTACAGTTTAAATTGATTATTGTGTACATCTAATTATTTTTAGCTCTGTTTAATTCATAATATGCTCACTATTGCTTCACTTAATTTTTTAAGGTGATCTTAGGCAATGTGCAGGCACATGGTTAATAAATTCACCTTTTTTGCAGGACTACCAGCCATTCTGGGTGCTAGTCACAGAATTGATATCTGCCCAACAATCAGGATTGGCCAAGATGACTTACCAGGCAAGTAACAATCTGACTTTTTTAGGAAAAGCTGCAGTTCAGAAACTTTATCAGGTTATATTCAGCTCTGTGATTGCACAGTTCTCTAATTGAATTAAAATAAAAGCTATGTTATAGACATGTTTTTTTTTTTTTGTAGGCTTTGACCTGATTTCTCAGTTCCAAATAGAAAAAGCTGCTTCCCAAGGAGTTATTGAACGAGTAGTAGGCTCCACTTCTCTACAAGTGGCTTATAAATTGGGACCCAATGTAGACTTCAGGATACCAACCAGGTAATGCCTTTGTTGTTTGACTTTAAAATATAGATATTTTGCAATCTTATTGTTTAAGGGATAGATCCTTCTGCCAACTAGGTCACCTCATTTGAATAGCTTTTGGAAGGGGAAAGAGGAATTGAACATTTCTTTCATTGCCACCACCAGCCCAGACTGATTCTGTAACAGCAATTTCAGGGTCTCCCACTTTGATCTAACCAATGATACTGCTTAGAGTACCTCAAGATTTGCTGATAGAAAGGGATTCACCTCTAGGACGTGAAGCCAAAAGTTGCTCATGAGTTGAAAACAGACAGAGAGGCAAAACAAAAAATAACAGAAGTGTGAGGAAAGTTTTCTGGAAACATTTAAACATTTTCTGATCATGTAAGGAGTGCAGAGATGAGGTGAGATTGACTATGATTGATTCTGTGTTGGTTTTATTTGCTCTTTGGAAAACTAGTACATGCATGATCCTGGCTGATTTGTGGTCACTTAATCTATAAAAGTTGAAAATTATTATGTAGCGTATCAGAGGCAAGTTGTGATAGGAGCCAGGATTTAGGAATCTAATTGTGTTTGTGCTTCACAGGCCAGACTTGCTGCTGGTGAAGGAATAGAGACAGTACAGCAGGGTAGAGATGTCTTTGCCAAACTTAGGCAAGCCTGGATTCTGGTCCAGCACCTTATGTAATTAAGAATGCCTTAACTCAGCAATTAACTGGCAAGACCGTTAATTGGACTACTGTTTCAGCTAGGAATAATTGGAGTGCAAAGTGTTTTGTCTTGCCCCAGATATCACTGACAACTTTTTCATGCTGCAGTTCTCCCTGGCTTCTACCTTTGTTGCCACCAGGTTGAGCTAGTTTGCAGCTTAAGTGGTTGGTTACATTGGACTCATGACTACATTCAATCCCAGACACAAATCAAGGCTGCTAATCCATGACTGTGGATCCAAACACAGACAGCAACTAAGGCTGTCATTTCACTAAAACTTGGAGATTCTCAGATTTTCCACTCATGTTTCTTAGCTCAGAAACAGGCTGGGCTATTGAAGCAGTAATGTTTTCATTTTTAAGAAATTTTAGACTTGTTGCTGTAGATGGCTCTAGTGGGATATATGCTTAATATGTAAAAGTTATCCTAGATCAAGCCTATACCAGCTGCCTTAATACACTATGGCATCTGAGCTGACTCCTGCCACTTGGTCCAGTGAGTGGGTTAAGGCTTGAGTCCTGACCATGATCTAGTGCACCAATCTTCTGCACCTCTCTCACTGAGCCTGAGCTTGCTGCTCTGCTGCAGAGTTGTTTTACAGTGTGCCCTTCTCAGTAAGCTCCTGAGAAAGAGTGAACTTGGCAGTAAGCAGCCGAGGCTAACACCACAGGAGAGGAACAATTTAGCCATTTCCAGTCATTTTTTTTTTTGAAGAACAGATCTCCCCACATAATCTTTATAATGTGGCATGGTAGGTGGGTTTTATTCCTATGAATTTGGGATGATGATAAGCCTGAGAAGTAATACAGGAGCTAGCAAGTTACGCAGAAGACATTAAGGAATGTTGAGCATCTTTAATGGCATGTGTGTAGCTCTGGCTTTTCTCAGACCCAGCCCTGAACTCCTGCTGCTTTTCCCTCCTGCCACTCCCCACTGCTCTTTATTCACACCGGGAGTATTGAACTTTAATGTAAATATTCCCCAGGGTACCAGTGGGAAGCGGAAGGAGGGAAGGGAAGGGAAGGGAAGGGAAGGGAAGGGAAGGGAAGGATGTTCAGAGCCGCCCGGACCGCCCCGGCTTGAGGAGCTGTCCGTGCCCGCGGTGCTGAAGCAGGTCCCGGGGGGCAGGGGAGGCTGTGCCCGAGGGCTCACACAGGAGGTATCATCCTCCCAGCTCTGCTTTCTGCGCTGTGCGCTCCTGGAAGCAAAATTAGAGTGAGTTTGGAAAAAATGGCTAGCACCGTTTTCCTGAGCTGGATAGCTGCTACAGACCCAAGTGCTTGTAGGAGGGACCCTCAACAAATATGTTGGCAATAGTCAAATGAATTTTTAGACTAACATAGGATGATTATACTAAGGCAGAAGAGCCAACGTTGCAATTGTTATGGCATGGGAATGAGAGCTCAGTTGGATGGGTATGGCTCAGCATATTGATTCAGTCTTTCCTGTAGCAATAGATTATGCCTTGGAAAGCTTACAGAGCTTCCTTAAAATGCTACTGAATTGTAGCTTGGTCTTTTTGCAGCTTAGCATGCTTGCCAAGGCCCAGAAGTATATTCCAGAATGAACAAAAATGATTGCACACAAATCTTAACTTAGCTTCTCCCATAATCCAGATAAATTCCCACTGGCCATTGCTTCTTCTAGAACAAAATCTGCTGAAGAATCAGCACAGTGTTCTTCATGCAGTTACTGTGTGTAATAACTTCATGTGGAACTCTCATGACTCTTACCTGTTGTGTCTGGACATGGAGAACCTATTATTTTTCAATTCAAGCTATGTACACGTTGTAGGTGTCCACCAGTTAGTAAGTACAAAGCTAATACTGGATATTTGGATAATTATTGTGTTCATCTTTAATGGAAAACTTAAAAAATATAGTAAGACAAAGAAATATGTTCATGGTATGGTTTTATGCATGGAAAAGGCCTAGTTATCTTTACACATTGGATGAAATCTTAAACTTTCAACTTTATAAATGCATCTGTCACATCACAAGGCCCCAAACTGATCATCTGTACTGTTAAAATATAAGACTTTGGCATGGTTTGAGTTCAAACTAATTAACATTCTTTAAACAATCCCTGGGCACAGCTTGGTAGCTAGCATAGGCCATGGACCATTCCCAATATACAACTTGCATATATTAATAATATTTTGGAAGTAAGCAGGTTTAAACTATTTCATACCACCTGAACATAGCATTAGAGAACAGTTCTGGGCCTTTTGGATTTATTAGCATGAAGGTAGACTGCGAATCCAGAAACGATAACTCTTTGCCTGCATCCTCATCTCACTAGAAAGCAAAGTAAAGCAATTTATATAATTGAAGCTGCCTTTTGAACAGTGTTTATATTTGGGGCAGTGATGTATTGCAGACAAGTCTAACAGGTAACATGACAAACATATCATGATAGGAAATGATGAAATGAAATTAGGAAGTTTATAAAATCTCATCAGTAAGCTTGGAACATCCATAGAATTTTATAAACTGATTTACTGTTTTTTCCTTTGGAAATAAAGCTTCTCCATGAAGCAATGCTCCTCAAATCCATATGATTGAAGGTCTGGCTTTTCAACATCCAGCCTCCAAAGTTCTTCAGGTGCTTTTCCTTTTGCATTACCAGCTATCTTACGTAGATATTATGATGACACTGATGGAAAGGACAAAATGCAGCCAAGAAGCTAATTAGCTCATAGGAAAAATAATTAGCTCAGAACTGGATGTTTCTGAAGAATAAAGATGAGCTGAGGGCAATGAGTCCTAAAATATCACTTCTTGCTAATGATTTAAGACAGTTGCTTTTAAACATGCTGAGCTAAGTTTTACTGTTTATTTGGTAGCTGCCAGGTATTGCCTGCCAGGTCAGCTGTGATTCTGAGTGGCTTCAGGAGATGCAGATACAAGTGTCTCCAGATTTAGCAGAGGAACTCCCAGCCCTGGGTGCATAATATTATATTATCATAAGATTGGCCAGAGCAATTTCTACATCTACATCTAGTGGGATGTGGTAACATGTCTAATATGTTCATTTAGAAAGAACTAAGTTATCTCAGAGGGCAATGGAGCTCACCTAAGAAATTAACTCCTAAAGAAATGAGTTTAATAAAACAAGCAGTTACTCTGTAGAATTTCAATAGGTACACAGTTGACCTTTTAACAAACTCTTTGGCTCCTGATGAATCCTGAAGTCAGTGGAACTGCTCAGGGCTTCCACCACCTAGTCAGACAACTCATCTTGGTTATATTGATGCCTCAGTAGGACTTAGTTTTGAAGCCTCAAAAGAATCTTCCTGGTAAGCACTAGAGCTACAGGATTAATAAAAGTTTTAGGTATTTATGAAAACGATTAAAAGAAAATAGTAGTGTTTCAGAAGTTCCCCTAGATGAACTAGAAATGTTTCTAACTTCCCATCCCTCAGTATTGAAAAAAATTAAGCAAATATTCAAATATCTGATAAAAAAATTGACCTGACCTTGCATTCAAAGCAGTTAGTAATAAATCTGAGTACATAAGGAAAGAAGGCCTAGAATGCTTTCTTACAAACTTAAGATACAAAATTAAATAAAGAAATAAATACTGCTCTGATGGCTTCTGTCCCTTGCAATTTTAAGTGGATAGGAAATAGGTCAGGAATGAATCAGGCCTTTGTGCTTGAACATATTAGTTCTTCCTTTGCTCATTTGCCTGATTCTAAATTTAAAATTGGTTTATTCCCTTCCATAAATGAATGGAATGGGAAACATATATGTTAAAAATATAGCTAAGAGAAATAATTTGAGTGCTTATATAGTTATCAGCTCTTCAATAAGATTACAGAATCCATCATTCTCCACTTTGCAGTGAGATGGAGGAATAGCTTCTCTACCATTTTTGATTTAAACGTCATGCTGAATTTGCAATGGTTTCCAAATATTTAGTATTTTAAGCTGCTGAATTCAGTACGGTTTTGCCTCTCTATGGATTACAGACTTAGGGAAGAACTGTACTCTGAGGTACACTGAAACCACTAAAGGCTCTTTACTGTTGGAGTAACTGAGATGAGACTCTGACTCTGCTTTACTTGTAGAATTATAACTATAAATCTTACACAGTAACAGGTCCCTGCAGATGGTGATGGGTCCCCTGGTGATGGCTCATGCTTTATTATGTTGAGTCATGTTACTGATACTGAGTCCTTAGTCTAAAGGCTGCAGTTCTGACTGGTTATTGAAAGTTTTTTGAAATGTAAATACTTACCCATGCTTGTGCACTGAATTTTAATCTTTGTGTTTTACACATTTCTTACAATTTAGTTTTCTCTTACCAATGTCAGAAGCTCTTACACAATTTCTCTTCTTTCTTTATCTCTTGCAAAAGTGAACATATTTCTTTTCTGGTTGAATGTCTGAAAAAAGAAGGAGAAGCCACAGAATGGCTTGTAAAGTACTAATGCTATAGCTAAATATGGTGCAAAAAATCCTTTTGCCAATCTGGTATAAACAATCCTCTAATCAAAAAATGTATGTTTACTTACTAGTTCTTTTGTTTTCTTTGTTGTTTGTTTTTTTGTGGTATTTTGTTTGTTTGTTTGTTTGTTTTGGGGATTTTCTAGTGGGTTTTTTGTTTGTTTGGAGTTTTTGAGGTTTTTGTTTTGTTTTGGGTTTTTGTTTGGTTCCTTGGTTTTGTTTGTTTTGTTTTGCTATTTTTGCCAGTATAGTTATATCAGTTGAGGTGGGATGAGTGTGTCATAGTTTAACCAGTCCTGCCATGACAGCAAAACTTATCACTGTAGAGAAGGACTGAAAACCTCTCCTCAGCTCAGAACTGCATTTTTCAGCTGTGAGGCTCAGTGTATCAGATCTGGAGTCACTGAATTTCATAGAGAAATTAGAATGTTCCATGGAGGCTATTGAAAGATTACATAACAATTCCACCTGCAGTAGGGGAGTAGTAAAACCAGCTCTTGTGCAAGAACAAACAGGGGATTCAGCAGCTGGAGAGATAAATGACTCAGCTGAGCTCAGGCTTTAGCAGTAGAGGAGATTGAAATACTTGTTTAAGAGATATTGCAGACAAAGAAGGACACAAAGGGCCATAAAAGATGTGGTGAACTGGATCAGAAGCTTAGTAAGAGTGAATGTGTCTGGATAGGGAGAGGTAGTATCTTCCTGGAGCAGGAAAGAATATATAAGCATGTTGTGTAAGCTAGAAACCTAACACAAGGAGAGATAGACAGTCACAAACACTGGAAAGTGCTCAGAACAGGAAGAAAGATCCAATGTCCACACATTGATGTTTGCATTTGAGATGGTAAGATACAAACTGAAACAAAAGGATGAAAGAATGCAATAAATTGGAGAAAATCCTATCAAACAAAGCCAGGTGGGACAGACTACTTCATCCATGGTCAACACAGTTCAGAACAAATCACAGACAGATTAAAGATGTTAGCAAGGAATCACCTTTTCCGACTTTGTGAATCTCTGCACCAGCTAAACATTCCCCTTCTCTATAAACCAGATTTTGGGTGTATATAAAGGCTCGTGGGGAAAAGGTGAAACTCCAGCAGCGTGGGTGGTTTATTTCCAAGGTGAAGCTGCCAGGCTTGTCTTGTCCTTGCTGAGATCTGCTGAGGCTGTGCCGCTGCCTGCTGGAACGTCCCTGCACTACAGCTTGGGACAGCAACTACAGACTAGGGAAATTGCTTCTGGCAGTCCTAGCTACGGCATCAGGAGTAATCAAACACACAGAATAAGAACTTATTCCATTTTCCTGCTTTTTATTTTTTTTCTGCCTTAGCAGAAGTCCCGAGTTTCATTAATGCTGGCTAAATAGCTGCTGAGATAGGATTGACCTGCCAGCCAAAAAGTCATCTTTATTTGAAATGCCTACTCGCCTGAGAAGTTATTCTAATGATTTCTGGTGACAAAATAGCTCTGTATATCTTCATACTTAGGAAATTTATTCAAATAAACTTATTCTTAAATGTGGATGGATGAAAAATAGCTCTGTATATCTTCATACTTAGAAATGTATTCAAATAAACTTCTTCTTTAATGTGGATGGATGACAAATAATGTATGGATGTCAACTGGATATGGCACTGAAATTTTATGATCCACAGAATATGGAAAGGCATATTTCTTAAATACTCTACCAAATTCAGTGATATATTTGAGATAAAAATTGACATCACTGCTTTTCACAGTGACACAGTGAGTCCTACCTGTGTTTCCAAATCTCACATTATAGGAGTTGCAAAATGATGAGATGTTTTATTTGTGGCAAACCTGTTCCCTGCTGCCTGTTATCTTGTGCTTGAATGTCACAGAACATAATACACTTTTAGTGTGGGTTCTCACCACATATGTATTTGTCAATGAATGACTTGTTGAATGATTTCTGCTGAAGTAATAGCTAATACATTAAAAAAAGGGTTATGGTCAGGCTGAACAAGAAAATGCATTTTGCAAAAGACATTCTTATGCCTTCCAAATCAAATCAGAGCTGCACTATCTACCTGTTCAATTATGAAGTCACACTATGGTGGCTGATTTTAGAAGTCTAATAGTGAGGAATAGGAAAATTGTGGGATAGATTTTCTAAATCGCAAGTGTCTGTTGTTGTTCCATCCTTTACACTTATAAAGGGCTATTGTAAACATCGTACAATGTTGGAAGAACTCAAATTTCTGAACCAGTTCCTTGTACCATTAGCAGCACTCAGGACTCAAAAAGACACTCTGTTTTGGGACTCTGCATGCAGAACAGCATTCAACAATATAGTGAAATATATGATGATATGTGGAGCTTTTCAGAACAAATACACTACAAATGTACTGTATTTTGATCCTACACAGTGCCATCTATTCCAACGGATTGCCTGATGAATATTCCTTTCTAACTACTTTTCGGATGACTGGGGCCACACTTCAGAAATACTGGACTCTTTGGCAGATCCAGGATTCTTCAGGAAAAGAACAAGTTGGAGTGAATCTTAATGGCCAAATGAAAAGTGTTGAGTTTTGTTATAAAGGAGCAGATGGAAGACTCCAAACTGCATCATTTTTGCATTTGCCTTTCTTGTTTGACTCCCAATGGCACAAGCTTATGATAATCGTGGAAGCAAATAGTGTCACACTTTTTATTGACTGTATTAAAATAGAATCCTTAAACATAAGACCAAAGGGGAAAATCCACACTGATGGCTTTGCTGTGCTTGGAAAACTTAAAAATAATCCACAAATTTCAGTTCCAGTAAGTATCAAAATCTTTTATTATTGAAAAAATTGTGTTACACTAA